CGATTTTACTTATCAATATAATCTCCTTCAAGAGCAATACAACCATTCCAACGCTTCTCTAACTTCTCGATGCCGTACTTGTAGAAGGTTTTGTCTTTTACCTCAAAATAGGCTTCAGTTTTAGCAATTACTTCTTCATTTGAGATGAATTTCTTACCGGCGAGCATTTTTTTGAGATCAGCGAATAGCCAGTAGTCGCTAGGGGCGACTATATTAAATTATACACAGAATTTAATCTGAGTATTTATATAATATTAGGCTTATACTCTTCTATAATATAATAAAATTAAGTTTATAATTTAATTTTATATAACATTTTATTATAAGAACCTAACAAAGTAATTTAGTTTTATCGTTGGACGCTAAAATTAAACACCCATTTACATTTATGAAATATACATATATAAAGAAATTATTATTATTTATTTAAAATATGTAAACAAATAATTTACAATTTTACATAAAAATTTTGATTTATTTTACAATTCGCATTTATACAACCCTACTCCAGTAACGGACACTGGCTCCAGAGCATGAGGCTTAATACCTAGCAGACTAGGTTTTTCTAAGTCAGAAAGCATGGGCGTAAAGTAGGGAAAATTGGGTAATGGTGTAGGGGGTACCAATGCTTCTTATACATAACGAAATTGTTTAAGTGATACATAATTCCGGCGTTGTTCCGTAACTCTACATAGAATAAGTGCAACAGGGAGAAGTGCTTAATATATAAGATAACGACTAAATGAAATGAATGATAGACTATATCAGGACTTGAAAATCTAAAAATCAATATTCTGTAACAAGAAATACATTTAAGATACATAACCGAATCAATGAGATCTTGAACGGTCTAACTACTTTGGAACACGTCTCAGATATACACGTCTTTCGATATTAAGACTTGTTCTAACCTTTTAGTATTAGAAGACTGCTACATCAGTAAATTTTTATCTTGTGGAATTTAAAATATGTATATTGCAACAAAAAACTAAGTCACTGTCGCTAAATAGATACGGTAGATATGTCAGTTTGCTGACATGTCTTTGTATAATTGTTGTGACTCTATTTAAATTTGTATATTTATATCTATATATGATTATATTACTGATATTACTATACGTATTACACGCAACTGTGATATATACGAAAGTCACTCTCGTTAAATTTTTTGTCAAAAGAGGGTATTTGTGTTATTTACAGTGATTATTTATAGTGAAAATTGAGTGTTTATCTTTTGCCACTATGAAACGCTGGTTAAACGATTTTAATCGTGGCCGCAGTTTGCTCACTGACCTCACTGAAATTCGAGAAGATCGTCCAAAACTAGTTGTTGTGCCAAAACATTGATGCTGTGCAAAAACTGATACTCGTAGTGCAAGATTGTCATACTGTGATGCGACATACTGTGAGATTGAGGTTGAGGTGGAACCCTAGGCATTAGTTCCACCAGCATATACTCGTATAAAATATTGTACGATCATTTAGCCGTAAGAAAGCTTAGTTCTCGTTAAATCCATCATTTCACAAAAGATGCTCGTATCGATTGGTACACACAAATGCTCAAGAAGTACAATAGCGGTGCTGCAACAGACGTACATAAGTATAAGATTGTAATAGGTGACGAATCATGCATATATGCGTAACAGCCGGAACATAAACAGCAGTTGACTGTCGACTGTATGGGTGTTTCAAGATGACGCAAAAACTGGTCATGTGACAACTATACGAGTACTATTACAGTAACGTAAAACGGTCAATTTCGAATGATATACAACCATTTATTACAACCAGCGGAAGTCTTCAGTGAAATACGGAAAACAAACAAGCGCTGTCGGATCATTCTCCATCTCCATCAAAACATTGCGAATACTCATATATCTCGTCTAACAACCAACTTCGACTATTTGAACATTCAAAAAATGACACATCGAATTGATGGGTCATCTATCGTACTGATTTCGGTCCAGATTTGCCACCCAATGGTTTCTCCTTGTTCCCGAACGTCAAGAATAAATTGCGTGAATAACGCAATTGATTTTTGTCGGAGAAATAATTTATATATATATATATATATATATCTAATAATTTTTCTCTAATATTTTTCACTTAAATTTAAACATTGTTTATAGTCCTTTAATTATTAATTATTATCTTTAATTATATATATATATATATATAGGCTTCAGCAAATCTCCACTTCGTGTGCTTACTGGAGGACTAACAGAGCAGTGTACAATCACGCCTATGCTCCAACAGTGGCTAGTTCCAACAAGTGGATTATGCAGGAGTTGCCAAGATGAAGAGGAGGTAGAATTTATCAATCACTTTCTGTCCAGGACTTCAGACAAGACGACTTCAATGTCTTGGGGATCGCTTTTTCACTGGCTTGGAAGAGATAACGTAAGCAAACTTAACGGATCTCCTCAACTTCATCTGGAAAACCAAATGGGTTAACACGGATCATAAAGTTTAGCGACTCGCCTCTCCCGGCAAAATTTTTGAGGACATTGCAATGGGCAATATATGCCTCCCAGTGAAAGTGACAACTGTCAGCACGCGCGTTTTTAGTGCAATCATTTGGAGTGGTGAGTTTGAAGATTCTGCCTGAAACTTATAGTGCGCAGATTAACCCTGTGCAATTTAATTAATAATATTAATTAACATAAGTTACGTTAATAAGAAGAAGAATATGATACACACATCGGAGTCAGGCTCTCCGAAGACTCTTTAAAGTGTCATTGTACATACATGCTTGTGAGGAATGCATAAATTAGTCAAAGAGAAGGGAGGGTCTCTGTAGAAACCCCCAGTTAAGAAAGAGTAAAACTGCCCAGTTGCACTAACTCGGAAAAACCTCAACATAAGACACAATAAAAAATATGTATTGCTTCTACATACCTACCTATGATACTTCGCATGTTACATACTTACGCTATTTTGTATAACGGACAAAAACCATTCGATTTTCCCAAAAAAATGTTTACAGTTCATCTTGAAAATCTAGACTACGTAATCATTTCTATAAGTATGCAGAAATCAATTTATGTAGGAGTAAGGCAAAAGAATAGACTAAATCATAGAACTATTTATCCTTACTACAGAGCAAATTGTAAGAAATGGTCAGTTATGAAAAGCTGACTCTATTAAAAGAGAAGAAACTCAACTTTTCAAATATGCAAATAACACAGATATAATCGCAGTTTAGTACCATCTATAAAAACAGTCTTCATAGAACTAGAAAACAACAAGGGTGGAACTCCAAATAAATTGATATAAATAAAATTCTGCTGATTGAAAATTAGTATTGAAGACGACGATTCGGACAAAATTTGTTTGTTCTTAAAAATTTGAAATAGATTATTTGAATATACATATATACAGCAGAGACTCACAAATTAGAACTCTCAGAAATTCGAATTGTTCAGAAATTAGATTCAATACATTATTTTCAATACATTATGTGCACCAAAAGCTCTAAAATTAGAAGGTTTGTTCGTACTTTGTTTTAAAAAAAAAGGAAAAAGTTCCCAAAGTGTGCACTTTAATGAAATACATTCGAAATTGCAAGTTCAAGACGGATCTGAATATGAGTTCAATACCCAAGCTCACACCAAATATATTTCATTCTGTAGCGATTGGAAGCATCAATATCTTAATAAATTGATGCAAAAAGAATAACTCATCATATGATCCCACTGATCATATGACCAATCTTTTAATTCCCCGTAACTATAACAATCGTAAAAATTTGACTTAACCTAAATAACAAACATATATTACTAAATATTTTAAACAATATTTCTTAATAAATATTGATTTCAACTGTAAAATAAAGTTTTATGGGGAAATGATAAATTTTGTCGGTATGGCAGCTAATGTTGGTATTTACCAGAATTTCGAGTAAAAAAAAGTTTACATAAGTGCAGTGCAAAAAATGCCTAGAAAATTTTAATTTACTTTACCTAAATAGAATTAAAAAAGTCCAGAAATTAAAACTTTTAGCAAATTCGAACTACCCGAAAAATCAAGTGATTCTAATTTGCGATCCTCTACTGTATTGCACATAAAAGAGAAAGTTATTTTAACACTTTTCAACCTGTTTTATACAATCACAAAAAATATATACTAGTAAACTAGACAAATAAACAATAAAAAATAACTTCGAACTGCGATACTTCCACTTTATTTTGTTTGATTATATATGATGTTCTAATTTTTTATTTCCTTTTCGTTTTATTCATATTCGCGCATGATTTGAAATTTTTTGTCCCTAAATTTAAATGTAGGAGAAAGTAAGTTTCATATACATACTAATATAGTTATCATTTATAATTTATTATGTAAATAATTTTACATATATTTAACTTTAAAATTCAAATTTAAACATTCATTCAGTGCATGAAAAATTTTTTTTATTAGTGTTAAGTAAATATATTTTCCAAATACTTTTCGTATTAATTAATTTTACTAACAAAACGCCACATTAAATCATAATACTTTGGCAACCTTTTCAGCTGTTTGGTTGTCATACTGCCTTACCTACAAATATAAACACTTGTCAAATATTGTTTAGTGTTGCAAATTCAGTAAATGTCAACATAAATTGATTACTCATAATATATGACACAAACAAAGAATTAGAATAGTGTTTGTCGTCATAGTTGATATAATTTTTATTATTTTTATTTAAGTATTTAAATAAATAATTATTTATTATAAATGTCATATGTGCAATATTTTTCATATAAAAATATCATAATTGTATATTAATACATAATATACATCTTCAACCATATAGAAAATCGTTACTCCGGTATTTGACATTGGTTAGTTTGTATAAAAATAACAACACTAATATTGTAGCGGGGTCAGTTATGGTGGAATACGTGGACCTTTCACATATTAGAAGTTTAGTGCTAAGAAAAATTAGTATTTATTGTATCAATAATTTATAAAATTAATAATTAAGTAGCGAAACAATCAATAAATAGTAACAGATTTATTTAATTTATTAAATAAGTGTTTATTATATATATTTTAAATGAAAATAAGAATAAAACAAGAAAGTGACCCAAATTTTTTGCTTGCTTTTGTTAAACGTTCATAAAAAACGTTGATAAAGAATATTACAAAAACAAAAATTGGCTGACCAAACGATAAGGTATAGTACTTTATAGACGGACAAGCAAAATGGCACCAACACGTAAAGCGAGAGATGGACTTTTAGCGCGTGTAAATTTTCCTTTATATGCGGTGGAAATGCTAACTAGTCGGCATGTACTGGTCGCAGGTGGTGGGGGTTCTAGTAAAACAGGCGTAGCCAATGGATTTGTAAGTAGAGTTATACAAAACACTGCAAGTATTTTTATAAATTTATGTATGTATGTTTTTCTCCAGGAAATTTATGAAATTTATCACAACGGCACGCACTTTTGTGCCGAAGAAGTGGTGCGACATGAAACTGGTGCCAATGTTGTTATGAACTGTGCAATACGCAACGAAAGTCGTCGTTCCTATCTGTTAGCTGGCCAAGAATCACACTGTCAAATGTATTTTGTAAATCCACGTATTATAACTGGCAATGAGGATGATGCAACAACGGTAGATAAAACACCTCGCGCAGCCACAGAGCGTATAAATGAAAATGGTGTACGTAAACGTGGCTCCAATGCGACGCATTCAGGTGTAGAGGATTTGCGTAATGGGATTTCTCCTAATAATAAAAAGAAAAAGGAAGACTTAAATGCCAATCTAAAACGTATACGTTTTGATATAAAAGCAGCTGATTCAGTGCAAACAGATTTTTTGACTGAAGAGCCACTACAGCGTGTAGTGCGTATAAGTCCTGACGGACGTTTAATGGCAACTGGCGGTACTGATGGGCATCTACGTGTCTGGACGTTTCCACAAATGGTACAAACGGAAGATTTTAAGTAAGTAATCGTATGGTGTGAAGCTTGTACAGTTTCTAAAAGTATTAATTGGTCTACATTACTTAGTCATGTAACGAACAAACTTAATCTATTTATTACTTATTAAATTATGATTGTTAGATTCAAGAGAGATCTAAAAAAAGCTATAATTATACTTAATTGTGAGAGTAGAAAAGTTGGCACATAAGTACTAAAACTTAAAGAAAGACATTTGTTGTAAAAAATATGATTTCAAATGAATAAGATGAAGGGATATCTGTCCTTTAAAAATGTGACACAATTAATATTTTAAATTTATAATGATCATGTAATTCCTTTAATCAATATAAAGAATTTTAACACATTCAATACTTTTTAGCATGATCTTTATCGTTATATCTTTATATGCGCTAACTATGTCAACTAAGCCATGAATTGCTTTAAAATTTATTTACAATTTACTTTTTCGAGCTGTAAATTTGGAATCTATTTGTTTGGAAATCAATTTTTCCTTTCTATGTTTCTTTCTGCAGCTTTGTCAATGTCCAGCACATGGACTTTTTTGTGCTGTGTTTTTCTTTGTGTTTTTCTGACTTAGATCGATTGTATGCATTAAAATGTCAGTATTATTTTATATGTAAAGAGTATTGATCAAGAATCATTACATATACCCTAAAAAAGAATGACAATGGTATTACGTTACCTACTTAAATCGGCTGGTACTATATAGTGAAAAGACTTAAAGATGTCTTTTAACTTAAAAATTGAATTTGCAATTGAATTTAATTGAATTTAAAACAATTGATCTCAGATAGTATGTACAGAAACAAACCTTAACATTCAATGCAAGTCGCTTAATAGTGAACCAATCTCACTGAAACTTGTTTCCTGCAATTAAACTTTCAAAAATAAATCATATAACTATTATTTATTATGTATATTGGCCTCTAAGAGACCTGGTTAAATGCATTTTAAAACACATTCTGTGTGAATGCCTACAACTGAGCAGAAACAACAGACTGGCCCATCATGGTGCAACCCTCGTTAACTTAACACAATTATAAGGTCGTGGTGCATAATATTCAATATCTATTTTAGTATATATATATAGTTTGAAATATCATAGTATAGTAAAAATAATATTTAAATTCGTTTGTCATTACAGCGCTCACACAAAGGAAATTGATGATATTGACTTTAGTCCAGATTCAAAGTTCATTGTGACAATCTCAAAAGATGCCCAATGCTTTATATGGGACATACACAATAGCAAACAGTTGCATAAACTAAATTGGGACACACCTGAGGGTGCAAAATACCTATTCAAACGCTGCCGTTATGGTACTATTGAAGCACAATCAGATAAATATCGTCTGTTTACAATAACCAATCCGCTGGGTAAAGTTGGTAAACAACGTGGCTTTCTGCAACAGTGGGATAGTACGCTTGGGAAGCTACGTGTGGCTATTGCTATTGATGAAAGTTTAGCATCGCTGGCGGTGCGTGATGATGGTCGTTTTGTAGCAATTGGCACAATGTTCTCTGGCAGTGTTTCCATATATATTGCCTTTAGTTTACAGGTAAAATTGTAATGTGGTATGGTGTTGCAGCAAAGTGCTGCTGCACTGAAGATCTAAAAAAAAATAAAGCAACACCATATACAATATTATATGAAATATTTTTTCTTTGTTTAATTATTATTAATGTACGTTTTTATCTTTAGCGTGTCTTACACATTCCGAATGCGCACTCAATGTTTGTTACTGGTTTGGAATTCTTGCCGATAACGAATGCTGAGGGTCCGCCTATCTCATGCGATGCTGAGGCAGCAGTTTTATCAATATCAGTAGACAATAAAGTTTGCATACATAGTTTACAACATCGACGTAAGTAAATTACTTTTTGTTATTTGATTGATAATTTAATTTCGGCAATTTTTGTAAAATTCCAATAATTCAAATGAACCAATAAGTAGTTTGTAGAAAAGCTACTTAAGTTTTTTATTTTCTTATTTTGATAATAATATATTTTGGGCCCTTTTTGAAAAATGTTGACGAAATTAATTTCATTCAAATTCAATAAAGCTCTTCTGCAAGCTGTTTTTAATAAATTGTTGGAATTATGTCACTATAGCTAATTAACATTAGGTCATTAGTCTCAGATAAAAGCGAAATCAACAAAAAGTATTTTCGAGTTATGACAACAAAATATGAAAGTTTGCTTTTAAATTTTTTTAATCTAAAATTTTTAATGGAATAAAATAATTTAGCTTAGTTGTTGTTTTCTGTGGACTTAAAAATTATTAGTATTCAATATGTTTAAATAAAAATGTGAAGCAAACACATTATGTCAAAGATTATGTGTGTTCGTACCTTTTCAAACAGAAAATGCTTAATACTAATGAATATAAAATTACATTATGTTTAAAAAGTATTGGGAATTACTAAACAAATGCAACACACAATCAATTAAAACCTTTTTAGTCAACTATAAAATAGACACTATCGAGTGAAATACAAATATTTAAGCGCTTGAATCAATGGTCCATACATTTTTCGAGTGGCCGCAATTGGTTCGAAACACTTGATTCGAAGTGTTTGTTGTAGTTTCGGCAATAGAAAAAAGTAACTTATTTATGGAAATATTTCCTTAAAATTCAGAACACTCCAAAGAAGCAACACAATAACAGCTGATGGAAACACATTAGCTAACAGATAGCGCTCGAATTTCTCTTAGCAAAATAACAGCATAATACGACTTACAGGAATTATAAATTCTGGACACTTTTTATATAGAATGTGTACGGAATTTCTTCAACTAAGAATTTTGAACATATATGCTCAGAAATCCTTGACTTTTGTGTATTCTACAGTAATTATATTTCCGCTACTGACCTAACGATCCACAACGACAAGAGGAAATCAGTATGATCTCTAATTTTTTTTATTATATTTTCTTTTTTAAATATAGTATTCAATATTGAGCATTTTTATAGTTATTTATTTTTTTAATTAGGAACCTCTCTTTTCGTTATTTCTTTTTGAAAATGGTTATAGAAATATTACTTTACCATTGGATTTAAATGTTATTTTAATTTATCGTAATACAGTGAGAGACCGTTTGAAGAAACGTTGATGAGAGCAACAATTATATCCGGTAAAAAGGAAGTACGTTTTATGATATATAAAAACTGGGAACTAGAAACATTGCTCAGTTTAGCGCAACATCCGTTTATGAGAACGATCGTCGGGCTAAGAAAATTTTCATTTATAATTATAATTTTTATTTTACTCAAAATTTCTGTTCATTGCGTTGTAATCAAGAAAACAAAAACTATATACATATGTGTAAGCTAAAGTTTTCCAAAACACTCTGTAGTTTTGTGCCAACGTGTTTTAACTTCGAAAAGTATTTCCTAGCTCGTGTGGAAAAAATCGTATAGAAACACGTTGGTACATAACACCCCATATATAAAATCTTAGTAAAAAGATAGTTTAAAAGTTCTATCTTAGAAACTAATCTTGCGCTCTGAGAAATATTAGATAGACAAAGAATTGCTGGGAAACGAATTACTATAAAATTGCATTCACGTTTAAGATAGTGGGAATATTAAAGATAGTGTAAAGGTTTAAAAATGCGAGCGCCAATAGTTAAAAGTATATAATAACTATGAAGTGATTCGGTTGGAATATACTCTGAATCATGGGTTCGGTTGCGGGGTTTGAGTATGCTATCAATCATAACTTCGGTTTAGTAGCAAAGTTATAATAGTTATCCTTGTTATTGAGGTTCAGTTAGGTTTAAACCAGGATTAGAACTCTGCTGGTATATTGATTAAAATTATGAAGATTCCAATTAAACGACGATTCGGTTTAGAACTAATTCACACTTCTAAAAAATTTAGTTTACCTAATTTATGATGGATATTAAGAATATAAATGATTAAAATTTTACTAGCATACGTAGACAAAACCACATATAATTCAGATTTGATATCGCAGCATATTGTATTTTTTATTGTATTGTAATTTATACGTCTATTCTAATTTTTTAATAAATGTTTATTTGCTATTTCTAGATACAATACCTGCCTGGGTGGCCGTTTTAATCATAATAGCTATGCTGTTTGGCGTTTTTATTTTATGCTCGTACCTTGGCATTTAATTAAAAAGACCATTTATGAATAAGCATTTAATTAAAGTTAACTTGCGCGTAACTCAATTGTTTATTTAGTTACGATATTATTAGTCAATATTTATGTTTTCCTGTATTTTTGTTTATATTTTTATTTATATTTTTATTTTTATTTTTACTCGTAATATCTTAGTAATGCATGAGTTTGAAACATTAACAAATTGTTAAGTTAACTTCGAATTAAATGGAAAGGCATAATTATAATTATTACAAATGCCTAAAGCTTAAATTATATTGAATATTTTAAAAAGAAATTTTTCGAAATTTTTCGAAATTTCCAAGTAATTTTACTTGTACACGTATATGAAATAAAATTATTTTTAATAAATATTTTTTTGGAATTTAGTTAATTTTTTAAAATTTTACTAAACTTTGTATTAAGTTAAATATAATAAAATAATTGACATAAGTTTATAGTAACGTGCTTAAGAAATACTTATAAAAATTGTTAAAAGCTTATACGACAGATAATTATTTATGTACCATATGTACCATATAAATGATGTGTTAAATACAAACGTGTTGTTTAAACAAAGCCGCCTTAATAAATTTATAAATAAATTGTAAGACGTATACTCGTTAATGACTTCGCTACATGCTATAAATATGTATGTAAGATACTGCAATATTATACTCTACTATTTATTCATAATTTCACAATATACATTTTTATTTTTATTCTGCTTGCTAAATAGTTATTTAAACTCAAATATACTTTTATTAGTATTATAAAATAAACAACAAATTTATAATCTCCGCAATGCAGTAAAGATTTTCATAAATGACTTTAATAGTTACCTTACAATAATATTTAAAGAAAAGTTAAAAACAAAATGTAACGTTGCATTATTTAGTTAATAATTTGTATATACGTATATAATTACAAAAATAACTATATATATTTATATAGATAAACATATATAAATAATAGTCTGTTATGCTGTGAACTGTGAAACGATCGACACATCGCATATACGATAATCGTACGAACTCATCCAAACATATATTATATATAAAACAATTAAGTTTAAATAGTTAAAACTAAAATTCGGTATATAGGAAAATAAAGTTATATAAATAATAAACAATTCGTACTTGTTCATATGAAAAACTATATAACATGTTTGTGGTAGTATAAAGGACCATTGACGAAACAAAACGCTAAAAAGTTTTTAAATGCTTTCGCCTTTTATATTTGCCCAATTAATAAAAAAATATTAACAATGTTAAAGTAAAGAAAAACATTTATAAATTAGCATAATACTTTAAATAGAAAAAAATTTAAAATAAAATTAAAACTATTGCATATTCAAATCAATCATTTGTTTTCTGAAATATTGTATCCGGTGTGGTTTCAGGCATATTTGCGCTTTTGCTAAGTACAAGAACTTGGCACGGTGAAACTTCTCTTACCATATATAGTCAGAAATGCATAGTCAGGGAACTTTTGTTTGTTCAGGTGGGATGGTCAACCTAAACGACTTGTTCCAAATAATGATAAAAAAAAATTTGTTCAACCAAGTTGTTCATTAGTAAAGTTTTCACTGTATTTAAGAAATGTAGTTAGTTAAATTAAATTGTAGATTATTTTTTTCCGTCTGAATAGCACATATTTTTATAGTTTCCAAGCGTAGTTGTTTAATGGAAAACAAATTTTCGTTTGTAACTTTATCACTTTATGTTCTGTGATCCCGACAAAAATCGCCAGTATTAGCAAAATTCAGAAGTGAAATGAGTTATCAGCGGGCGTCCACTAACTTCACTGCAAGAATGGATTGTTCTTGTTATAACTCGAAAGGTTTGTTGCTATTGTCTCTATCTTGAGCAGAGAGCACCAGGTAGTGATCTATTAACAACAGTGACATCAATTCTAATGCACAATTTCTTAAACAATAGAAGAAATATAAACAACAAAAACAGGTTGTCCCACCTTCCTTCTTATAATTAAATTTTGAATTTATTTCTCGACCTTTTTTTTAATAATGGTATATATATTTTAAATATTTTTTATCCGGCTTTAGGACACTTTTTGTTAAAATTAAAATTCAACGTTTGTTTAATATTTTTAATATACACTATATTTCGATTCTCCTTGAGAGTTATCATCAAAACCGTTTTAGAGAATATTTTTAACAACAAATATTTTGAGAGAGAAGAAGAGGGTTTAGGGTATAAATTAATTTATTTCTTTGAATAATATTTTTGTAATAATTTTTATATTAATTTATTTGTTCATTCAAACAGTATTTTTTACAATATTATTAATAGTATTTTTACTAATAGTTGTCGCTTACGCAGCGTATTAAAAACTAAACTAAAAACTAATTTTACAATAATTTTAACTCTTAACAAATATCCATTACGGGATATTGTTTTGCAGAAATAACCAACGGTAACTTGTTTTGATACAATTGTATCAAAACAATATCCCGTAAGAAATATTTGTTTTGATGCAATTGATCAATAGTTATAATGATCATTAACTTATATTTAGGTCAAAACTGTTTATCTATTATTTATAACAAGCTTGCAGGAGACACGAAATTCATATTTTATTATTATTATTGACATGTTCAAAAAAAATTACAGGAAGTAACTAAGAACTCAGGCTATCTATAAAAGATTTACACGTATGACGATTTCTAGCAATGTATTTTACTTCATTAAAGGATTTTTTGGTATTGTCCGATCCATGTGTATTTCCTGCAATTCATATTACCTAAAATTAAAGTATTATATTACCATCTCAATTTTTAAACTTTAACCCTTTAGAAGAGAAATAAGTGTATAGAAGAAAAACGATTTGCTTCAAATGCAAATTATGTAACGCACAACGTTTGAACGTTCGAAGCTCAATTATTCGTTTTTGTATAGATTTTGTTTGAAAAATTCCATTAATTGTTGCATATTTATCGAATTAATTGCGCTAGTGTAAACGTTCTCTGACGTTCTTAATTTTTATATGTTATAAACATATTACTATACTTATAGATATTTTTATTATTTTTTATACATTTACTCAGCGGGGATCTTAGAGTCTTTTGTAGTTATCTAAATCCTATTCCATTAATAGGTTTATAACTAATGTAGCTCCAAGTATGGTGTACTTCGTTCTGTGTCCTTCGTTCTTCTACACCTTTTAGTCATTTATATTATATAATATTAATTTGTATGTATAGATCTTTTTATTACTAAATAATATAACAGCTTAAATATATAAATAGAATAGAAAAGTTTCGTCACTCTTGACTAATTAATAAGTAAAGATTATCTAGTCACATCTCATATATTCCCATGCGTAGCATTTCTGGTTAAGATTTATTTGCAAATTCATTTTTCTATTGAAACTGGGTTCTGTCTTTGTATCGATTTTTTCCATTGTATCAGAATCGATCAGACGTGCGGCTAATTCATTGGCTGCGCCAACCTTTTGATGCACATCATGTTCAGGATAATTAATCGTTAAGTGGGCATATGCACCAATAAAACTATTAGTAAAAAGAGTCAAATCCACATCGGTTATATTTTGAACTGGCACATATATGCATCGCAACGGCAAAGTGTTATCTGCGTAAACTGTCCCAATAGAGCCTAGTGTTATAATCGCTAATCTCGCACCTTTTTCAATAATGTAACCTAACGCTTCAATACATTGTCTATAATTTCAAGAAAAGATATAAGATTTATAACTAAAAATAAATTTGAATGTAATAGATCTACTTAGGAGTAACAACACGTTCTTTGTTCAGCAATTCTCCAGCTTCAATAGCATCGCAGCACACAATATTTGCTACCCTCAGCATATCCAAATATTTTTCGAAAACATTAGGGGCTACATTGAGTATGGTTACACCTCTGAAGCGTCGCAAAGCAAACTGTGTTGCTTCAATAGCAACATCCTGTTGACAAATGAATGCCTTGATTTATGGGAATAAAAGTTGGTTTTAGAAATTTCTATATTCCAATATACAATAATAAAGTTTGTTAAGATACTTTAGCTTCACACAACAGTGATTTAGCCTTCTCTATATCAGTTTGGTCGAGTAGGTTTGTAGCGCCTTCAAACACTAAGCCTTGTCTAACTCCATCTTCGGTAGTTGTCATTTGGTTAATCCCGGTAAGCTGTATATGTATAAAATTGAACAAATCAGATAAAAACTGTTCTGCTTTAAATTTTATAATAGTGTACACACCGTTTCAGCACATATGGTTACAAAGTCTGTGTGGACCTCATTATTACGCATATAATCCAAGTACTTCTTACCAAAACGATCATCTCCTAACTATAATGAGATAGAGGTTAAATAGTTTGTATCCTTTTTTAGTAAAATAAAACTCTACGTTTGCTATTAGTGCAACTTTCGCTCCAATTTTTGAGGCCGCAGTTATTTGACCTGCGGCTTTTCCACCAAAATCGATGCGGCTTGAATTTCCAAACACTTCTTCGTTAATATTAGGCCAATCGTTCGCAATCCTGTGAAAAATAGAACATTACTTATCTCGGTTTTTAAATACTTTCAATAGTATTAAACAATATTTACCAGCTAATTTGCATGGCGGCTGAACCGAAACCAACTATTTCAATTGCTTTCATCATCATCAATAGATAAAAATGAATGCTAACGATTTGCCAATACTCATTAAATTTGTTTAAAAAAATAATATAATGAAATTTAAACCTATTTTGTTTAAAAAAAAATATAGTTTATAGTTTTTTAAATTAAATTAATATTTATGTAATTCGATTACGATTACAATTCCCTAAGCGTTGCAATATAACGACGGATTTTGACAAATTTATTTTGTGCATATACCTCTTATCGGTATATGTCGATAATAGGACAGTTCTCCAGACATAGAGCTTTAAAGTTGGTTGCATAAACAAAATAGTAGTTACATTATCTAGCGTCAACTAGTACATAAAAATTTTTATTATTTATTCAAACAAGAATCGAACTCTATCGACATACCACTTAATGGAAATAGTTTCTCAGAACTTTGTCCGATTTTATCAAAGTCGTCTCAAATCGCGTAATCCCACAAAAAAATGTTTACAAACTACATATATACACTCATACAAATGTGAAGACACATTTTAATGCATATACTAGAGGTCAGGTTTATTCGATTTGGCTGGTTCAAAACCCCAAATATACCAATTGATCTATAACAATATAGGCATGTTTCCGATTTCGCGGGCACATCGATTTGTCAGCAATTCTAAAAGACTTTTCGACTTTTTTCACTACGCTTTATGTCGATAAAGCTTACTTCTCGAGATATTGAGATCTAAATTTGAAAGTTTCTAAAATACACTATAGACGCCATCTAGTATCAACAAGTATAAGGCATTTCTACATTGATTATGTCAATGAGTAACAACAAGAAGTAGCGTTTACTTTCTGTTAGTCGTTTGCATAATAGAAAGTCATCTAAAAGTGCATGTTTTTACTAAAATCCGTCATTAAATAAGGGTGTCAGAATATTTCCTCTATGTCAGATGGAGCTAGATCTCTATTTAGATTTAAAGTGCTATAATGTAGATGCTCTTGAGACGTTGTGGCGCAATGAAGGTTTGAAGAGACAGTCTTACGTAGAATGTAAACGTTTTTTGCAAATGTAAGGAGTGTTTGAAATTTTGTTCCTGAGAGAGAAAACGAGAAAAGTAATATTTTATATATTTATATTAATTTATGTTTTTTAGGGAACGTCAAAATGGTGCTAGTTATGTTCGCGACGCCACTATTCCTTACTTCATTAATTATGGAGACCACTACATCTAATTTACCATCTGATGAGTTTCTAGAAAACATTGAACCACACAATAATAAGGCAAATTCAATTGAATTTAATATAGAGTACTGGTATTTCATTGTGTTATAGATGTGATTATTTTATAAAGAAAATTTCAAATTAAAATTTTAATTTTAGGTCAATTCTGATGTATTCAGATTTGAGTTTTTCTCTTTAAAGCAAGCAGTTAGTTCAAATTTTGTTACGAATTTAGTTTTAAGCAATTTTGCAAAAAACCAAATTAATTCTTAATCTAGAATTAAAATCTTTCTTTTAATTAGCGTCAAAAAAAAAAATTAAAATTGTTTTGAAGGTAATCTACTTGAATTCATTGAACTGCAAGTCACTTTTGAGTAGTTCTAAAAATCCTCTAAAATGAACAATGTAAGACTGTTTACAATTATTTAGTTGATAAATATTAAACGATGAATAGTACAACAATCAGAATCTAAAAGAGGAAAACTTCCAACTACCACATTTTACCTTAATAGAATTCTAGCAAATACGAAAAACACTTAGAGCAGTTGCTTGGCGGCATAATTCATTAAATTCAACGAATTTAATAATCCAATAATTCGTGTCAAATAAAACTGTCACATATATTGACAGTTCACAATAATTTTAAATTGTAAAAGAAAATTGAAGTCACAATAGAAAAAACTACTTTCAAAGCAAAGAACATGTAAGAGAACGGCAACTTCGTTGTGAACTAAAATTTATTTTTTGCACAACAACAATTTGTTGTGAATCTCTTGAAGGTGTTAGTAAAAAACGCACCAACGCCAGCTGAAATCCTTAAAATTTTTCACCTTTTTATCGAAATATTTTATATTAATATACTTTAAAAAGAGTATGTACTTAATATATACAGTAGTTGTATATTTTGCCGTTATAAATATAATTACGAAAACTTTGTAAACAAAAAATAATTTTTAATTTTAAAGTAAGAAAAATTTTGTATTAAGGAATGCAAATATTTTAAGTTACTTTTTTTAAATTTCCGCACAATAATGATAAAATTAGATAAATTTAGCATTTAAGTTCTATGTAGATTTCTAATATAAATATTTTCCAAAAATGTTTTACCGTTTATGTTAAAATATTGGTAAGTGTTAATTTCATATTTATATTGAGAATATAATTGAATTAATTTTTTTTTTATTAATTTATTGGATTTTTTACAAAATTTTACGATCACTTTGTTAACTGGAGTGTGTCTATATTACTTTAATAAATACTCGCAAAGCTGTTAAAATTAACTGTTTGTAAACTATCTTAAATTCGAAATCCTCTTTCTTTTGATAATTAAATAAACATTTGAAAGTTATTCTTTGTTATCTCTCAAATATTTCATACCCTACATAGGACATATATTACACAGTTCTAGTAAAATCAAATGATTTTTGTTTGACGTCAAAATTTTTGTATTTTAATAACATATTCACACAGCATATGTAACTGGAATTTTGATTACAATTTATATTATTTTTAATTTTTGTTTTCACACAGCATATGTAACTGGAATTTTGATTACAATTTATATTATTTTTAATTTTTGTTTTTTGTTTTGTTATACATTTTTACTATTAGATGCTTTTGGAAGCTTTTAAGTGTAGCTAAAAAAAATGCTATGTTTTCTAATGATGTAAATGCTAGAAAATTATATTTTGTAAAAAATAAATAAGGCTAAAATTAAAATTTGAAATGAATAATGAACTAAAAGCAATGTTCAGAATGCAGGAAATTTTAAAATTTCCTTTTACAACAAAATTAAATATAGTTATGAATATTTATTCCTTAATAAGTTTAAACTTGTTAGCAACTAATAAGTTAAAATTTTTAAACCGCTTTTCAATTACACTTTCTTCACGTACACCCAAAAATTTTTCTTTGAAATTATATGTATATAGTTAAAATATTTTTTTTTTGAACAATTTTGGATATTTAAAATATTTCATTTTTGATAGCTAATATTTTCATTTTGTATTGAAAGCAAGAACAATTGACACAACAAATTACATATATAACAGATAAAATTACAAACAAAACTCTGGTGTGAATCCAATATTATTCTCTCAGCTTGTGCTATACTAAAGTTTTATTACGAGTAGTTCGTGATTTAAATGATATATAAAAAATATGAAAACATTTGTAATCTTTGCAACTCTGAATATTTGTAAATTAAAGTCTCCAATATTGTTTCACTATGTATAGGGCACATTATGGAGAATGACACACATGTCAGCTGGAAACTCACAATAGGTAAGAATTTACCGCGAATATGCAGAAAAAATAGAGAATTCAGAATATTTTTTAACTAATGATGTAAATTACGTTTCTTGCAGAGTTTGTTTTCACGTCGATATAAATTCTTTTGCTGAATTTACACAGGTATTAAAATTTATTTTAAACCAAATTTTATTAATTCTTAATCATTTGCATGCAAAGATTTTAATCATAATTAATGTAATTATCATCTGATAGTTAGAATTTAAAACTGAAAATTCTGTTAAGGTTGCTAATAGCTTCTTTTAAAATTCGTATTAGGCATTTACGGAATACTTAAAAGATAACACTGCTTGTATTAAGCAAAAAGTGTTTGTATATAAAATGATGACTACCTTAGTCTTTAACAGTTTTTTAAAATCATTAAAACAGTTCTTTAGTTTCTAATAATCGAGATATTTGATTTTTGTGAATAATATGTTACTGAAATTCATAATATATCTCGCAGTTATTTAGTTATTCACCCCATTCACGCGAGTCTTAAAAGTTGTTTTAAGGCTCTTTAAATCGATTTCAAGTACTTTTAGCTCACTCAAAGCAAATTCACATCACTTTTAGTAAAAAACATCATTTTAAGCCTTTCCTAAATACCTTAAAAGTAGTTGACAAAAAAACTAAAAATATGAAGAAAAGAGAAATAAGAAGAAAAAATTTTATGAAAGAAGGGGAAGAGTATTTAATTAAAGTATTTGTAGAAAACAAAAAGTAAAATTGTTGGATGGTAAGATATATAGAAACTCGGTGGCTGGTACAAAAGTGCACATCAAATTAAACAAAAGTAGTAAGTATTAAAATTTATAATATAATAATAATATATAATAATATTAATAATTGTAGTATTAATACTCCTATGGAATACCATCCATTGATGTGCAAAATACTTAACTTGATCGATCGAAAGGCATGGGAAGTTATGCGAAAGCTCGCGTATGCAAGAGTTTGATTCGTCAGCAGAAAAAATTTTTTATTGAGGAAGCGGAAAAACAGCGTGAGTGGGAAACCAAGATGTTAGAAGAGCAGCTTAATGAAAATATGGTGCGCAGTAGCAATGAGGCGATATTAGGAAGCTCAACAGCATCCAAGTACCCCTATTATTATTACATACATAATGTATTTAAAAATATTAACACTCTGCAAATTGCATTTTTGCCGTTTGAAAGACTCAATTCGCCACTAAATGATTTTGTACTATTGTGAATTTTTTTTAGAGTCAGTTCCATCTTAATTTTTGAGGCATAGAAAGCAATTTCTTATCTTTTATATATTTGGGATTATATTAAGAAATACTTTATAGGAACTTAAGTGCGATATAATATTTTAAGCTAAAGTTGTAGATATTTAATGTAAATAACTTATATCACCCTGACCCAGTACTTCTGTTCGCAAGAATAATTCATCAAGAGTTATTTAACAAAGCCGGGGTACTTTTGCGTCCTCTATGCGTTATTAGGTATTCGTTTTACCAAATAACAGCTTTTACTAATTTCTTCGTCAATTTAAATTTAAATAAAGCAATTAGAGAGCTATGGATTACGAAGATGGTCCAGCACCGCTAAATCCGTCTACTGCGGACTTAGATACTGACAATAATGATGAAAAAAGCGGCAAACAACGACGCTACTGGAACACAAAGGAGGAGGAACGTTTCTTTGAAATATGGGGACGCGATAATTGGAAATTGACAAAACATGGTAAAAATACATTACATTTTGCAGAATGGTCACTCGAACTAAAAACCCGTTACGATATTGATGTGAAGCCTGAGGAGATTCAAGCGAAAGTTAACCAAACGCGTGCTAAGTACAGGTTTGTAGTGGAATTACTGCATATGAAAGTGAAATATAATATTGTTAGTTACATTTTAAGGCAAGTGAAGAAGCAAATGGACAAAGATGATGTTAAGAAAGATGCACGTTGGAAAAAATTTGATATAATAACACAAATATTAAGCAATCAATTTCGGACAAAAGATGCTGAGCCGATTCCTCCAGAAGCTTTAGAAAATAATAGAGATTTTGTTAAAAAGAGGAAATCCGCAGGTTCATCACCCTTAACAAATTCTGGTGAAACTAGTAAAACTAATGGAGATGACGCCACACCGGTAGATGTAAGTAAATTAGTAATAATATGCATATTATATAATATGCATATCTTCGATTTAGATAATAAAATTAATATTTGTTAATAACATAGGTAAATTAATATGTAGTGACGTTTAATAATTTTAGGTAAGCCTCCGCCAGCAGAACGATTCCACTAATCGCTATCGCTAAAACTTCAATCTCTTAGCTAAAATCCTTTAGCAATCATAGAATTAGCAATCATGCGATTCCGCTAACACAATCTCTTTGCTAAATTTAATCGGCTGTGTGGATAATGCTGAAAAGCATTGAAATGTCAAAATATAAAAAAAATTATAAACAAATATCAGTTGGAATTATAATTTAAATTTGAACTTTAAAATACTACCTTAAAGCAATTACACATAGCTCAAAACCTGGCTTTAATAAGACTGTTTAAGTTTCCATGGTATATTAGATCAACAGACATACATAGAGATCTTAGGATTGATTCAGTGAAAAAATATATCAGAGACAGAGCTCTAAAATTATTCACTAAAGTTGATAATTAACCCCGCCCTAACAATCCTCAAGTCCACTTCTGGACTCTCAGGAAGATATGCTGATTTAAGGTCCGTCATCAACTAAAAGACAAATAAATGATATGATTTCTTAGTTTAGTTAAAGCCTAGTGTGGGATAGTGATAAGCCCTATCCCTATAACTCTATAAGCCATTATAGAGTAAAAGTGCGTAATAGCACTAACTCAAGAACAAGAACAAGAACAAGAAGAAGAAATTTAAATGAAAACAAATTAATAGAACATTGGTTTGTTGATTAATTATATAATAGACCATTATAATTATTATTATTAATCAGATATTATTAAATTACTGAAATTTAAATAATATCAAGGGCAATGTATAATAATCATATATTTTGTTCACTGTTGCATCTACAATTCAATTTCTTTTTTACTACAATTTCACAACGTATTAGAAAACTAAAATACGTAATAAAATTTTTTTAAATTTATTTTTCGAGCTCTTATTAAAAAGGTTTTTTTAAATATTTTTATTCTGGCTGTAGGTCTCTTGTTAAATAATAAGACTTTAATATTTTTTATTAAACTTTATATTTTCACACGCCTTGAGGGTCATTATGAGGATTCCGATTATAAGTCACTATTATTAAAAATGAATAAACGACCTTCTCTTTCGTCTATATCGTCTGTATTATACTGATATATTAAGTAGAATAAAAATATATAAAAAAACATAATAATAACTAACAAAAATAATTGATAAATATTCAATTATATCCATAAATACCGCACAATTATTCACTTTTTATACTTCCAACAACATATGTTTAATTTTGCTGTCTGCCAAATACATTCTCACTATATACAGCTATAAAAACGTTGGAATATATATAATTGTTTTTCTTATATTTTAAATTAAAATTACAAAATAAATATGAATAATATATTTTACTTTTAGCGACAATAAAAACCTAATCGCCAAAAACAATCAAATTAAGAGTAATTTTAGTCGTTTTCAAGTCGTTATCGCAATTGCTATATTTGGCGATTGTCAATTTAGCAGAATACGATATTTGACGATTTAACTATTTATCCGGAGCAATCAGGTGTTTCTCAAAATAGAGAAAATGAACGAAGAGATATTAAGCGAAAATAAGAACTAGCGGAATCGCAAAAGTAGATGGAACTAGCAGAATCGCCAAAGTCGAAGATGGAGTTTTAGCTATAGCGATTTCTAGAATCGGCCTGCAAGTTGTCTTCCGCTATGTCATTTTCAGTTTTATCTCTGTTGCGTAGAGTTGTATTTATACATATAATTAAGCGATAAATCGCTTCAAATCTAATCTGTTAACATATATATAAAACCTTAGATATTATAAATAAATTAGACCATATCTTATTTGGCTTGGAAATCCCAAATTATATATACTTTTGATATTGCAAATTAATTGGTTTAACAGCAATATGTTAAATGAAATATTTTTCTTAAACTTACAGCCCAAAACGACAGAAATAAATATGTTCGATAATAGTAATGCCTCTAACTATAATACAGAATTATTTACGGATCCAGACGATACATTAAAACGTACTTATGATGATTATAGTTATCCATATAACAACCAATCTAACTATGCAAACGAAACAGAAAGTCCACAGTTACATCAACTACAAACACCACAACAGCAGCAACAGATGTATACAACACCATATAATACACCAAGCAATGAACAGCTTGCGCATCCCCAACAGCATTTGGATGCACATATACAGCAATTACAACAACAACAGCAACAACAGCAGCAACAACAACAACAACAAGGTATATATATTATATATGTTATAGTCAACTATATATAAACATATGCTTGCATTTTTCAGCCATTGTTAATAGTGGTATTCAAAACAATTTTGCTGGCACAACATACGGCAGTCAGCCATACAATAGCAATAATAATTTTAGTATCACCAATGATGTGAATAATACAAATAATAACATGTTACCTCCACCGCGGACGGTGCAAATTCGTAAACGACGACAGTCTGTAGCTATTCCAGCAGCTGTGGACAAAGGAAGTAATGAATCTTTTGAAAATCTTTATATGGCTGAAATTAAGAAGCGTAACGAGATAATGTCTGACACGCGCGATATACAAGAAAAGATGATGGTTTTGGAAAATCGGAAATTAGAATTATTATCTGAATATCTTCCAAAGATTTGCGAAATGGCAGAGAAACTGATGGAAAGGGCCTTCAAATAGTTTTCGTTGAAAAACTTCATTTTTTACTTTAGTTTATTTAGTTTCAGTGTAGTGGTATTACTTGCACAATCTTCAAAACAAACTTTAAACGAAAATGAGACTTCAATTTTAATTAATTTGCAAATAGTTTAAATGTTTGTGATATGTTGTTAGTTTTTCTGACATGTTAAATTAAAAAAATATCTGCATTGCTTCTTGCTAAACTGTTCAAGTATGCACAGTGAAAACTCTCTTGAGCAGTAAATCGTAATCAGCCAATTCTTGTCCGTTTAAGAGGAGTGTTCGGTTAAAAGAGTGGTGAATTTGTTTTAAGTAATTAATATTGAAATGAAATATTTTGAGTTTATTATTAAAATTTATGTAAAATTTATTATTAAAATTTATGTAAAAATTCAAAAGAAAAGAAAATACATTTCAAAAATAGGATGTTTTGAAAAGAAAAATAAGTCGCTTCTTAAAAAATTCTGAAATTGTGAAATTCTGAAATATTTTGACTTTCCTATTTTTTGACGTATTCCAAAGCAATGAAATCGTCATTACAAAATCGTTTTAAATTCGTAATAGCAATCAAGGCCGTTTCGTTTGTGTATACCTTATGCTGTCGATCAGTTCTTCTTTTAGAATCACTACTATCGTTTTCAATAGTTTCTACATTTTCAACCTCCGGATTTTCTGTCAGCAAATTGCTATCTATTGCCAGCAATTCTTTATCGTTAGTGGTAGATTCTTTGAAAGTTTTTAACAGCTCAAGTAGAGAAATCATAGTTACTGGGAGTAAGTCATCTTCGGAATCAAATTCGGTTGACCTGATTCCAAACCCTGTTTTTTTGAAACAGTTTCGTATAACTTCTGGTTGTACCTTCTCAAAGGCTGATTTACATTTATTTATTTATCTGTTGAACTGGACTCAATGTTTGACAAAATATGTTTAACTTAAAGGCTTCGATAGTTTATTTCAAAACTTTGAATAACTCCTTGACTTAAAGGCTGGCAAAGTGAAGTTGTGTTCTTTGGAAGAAAAATTATCTTATTACTTTTTAATTGTAGATCACAAGGGTGTGATGTTGCGTTGTATAGGAACAATAGAATTCCTCTCTTTTATAACTATTTTTCGATCAAATTCCATTATCCACTGTGTCATCAATTCGAGTGTCATCCATGCTTTTTTATTTAAGAGCCAATTTATTGGGACCTTTTTAATTTTAACTGATGCAGACGCTCTGTGGCGAGCACCTTTCCCAATCACAAGTATTTTTTTCTTTCTCTCAGGTTATATTTCAATAAAAAAGATTATATATAAAAAAGACCGTGGCACGCTTCATTTTTAAATGCCCAAGTTTTGCTTGGTAGAGCTCTGAAGAAGAGGCCAGTCTCATCGACGATATATATGTCTTCAGCGCTATAACCACTTAGCATGGATAGAAGGTTTTCTAAAAATTCATGAACATCGAGAGCATTCACAGCAGCACCTTCTCGAGAAATGCACCGAAAAGACATATTATGTCTTGTCCGTCACCTTTGCAGTTAATCATTAGATGCAACAAAATCAGTTACTTCGAGTTTCATACTAATTCTCTAGCCTTAGTTTGAATAATTGGGCCAGATATCGGAATGTTCTGATTTATTACATTACAAAACCAGTTGAAATAGATTTTATCTATTTTTCTAGCCAAAATTGAATAGAATTTATGCAAAGTATACATATTTGGAAAGTGCTACATCTTTTTTGTGGGGAGTCCACAATTTCCATTAATTTCGATTGTCTTAAGATTTTTTTAACTTTACATTGTTAATTTTGTCTGTTATTAAGGACCACGTTGTCACGTTCGGTCAAGAGGGATATTTTACAGAATTTAGCAGAAATTCCCTCTCAGCGTCAGGGTTAAAGCAGTGTCCGCCCAAAAGCGTTGTTTTGAATAATAATAAAAAAATTTGGTTTTAGAAATATTGTACAAGAGAGGTGTACGTTTAACAGGGGTGTCCATCAGGAGAGTCTTCGCTGTAACGTGTTTCAAAAGAAATTGTAATAAATGTCGGAAAAATAATCAAGTAATTTAAATTTTTATTTGCAAATTAAAATGCAGTGTAGGGAAATATCTATACTAAGAACAAAAATATTTATATATAATTTATTCAAAAATTTTTATTCGAATATCGGAAGTATTGTTTCCATATCAAAAGAAATTTTTAGCAAGGAATGGCGTAGCCATTTATCATTTTTTGCCATTTTCCTACGTCACAAAATTGTACTAAAATTAAGCACTTAGATTTATCTTGATATAGTTTTCGTGAATTTGTTTATATAATACTTAATACAGTATTAAGCGATTGTAGTGCTACCAACTACGCACAGGTATATCTGCGAAACTGATATTGCCAACTACGTGAAATTCATACGTCGTTATAAATTCATATAAATTTATATAAATTCAGATAAAATTCATAAGTCATTATAATGGAACTTGGCGAAGATAACATTCGTGAAGTATGTAACTCATTTTTTTAATCGTTTGAAGGCCATAGTCGAGGCAAAAGGTGGCCACATCGAGCTAGAGAGAAAGGATTCTGAAATTTTGATTATTTCCAAAAACTTTTGTAATTTGAATCAATAAAAAAAATTTTTCACAAAAAAGATATGGTTGCTTGAATAGGTAGCATATCAATCGCCTTACCCTGTATATCCTACATTAAATATGAAAATACTGAAGTTGAAACATATACAAATTTTGTAAAAGTATTATACTGTATATTTAAGTTAATACATGCGACGTTTAAGAAAGCATATATATGATGAACAGAATTGTCTTTGAATTACAGTTTGGTAATTTTTATTTGTTTATTAATTATAAGAGTTAATAATAACAACTAAAATACAATATCTTAGACTTAATTATGAAATGAGAAATATTCTTTTTCGTATAAATTTAAAATTTGATATATTTTGATTTAAGAGTTCATTATAAACACAACTCAACTATGTTGACCTAATAAAGCGATATAAAAATATAGAAAAAAATCTATAACAAGGAGATCCCTTCTGTTTTGATTCAATATTTATCTGACCATTGTAATTATATTTATTGCAAATTCTACAATTAATAAACTTCTTTTACAAATTTATATATATATGTTGTGTTCATATATATTCGTATATATGCATCAAATTGAAGAACTGCTATATGGACTAGAGACATTTGTTTTTTATTTTTATTGGAATTACAAAGAAAAGTTTAAATCAATCAATCAGTCAATTATAAAACAACTTTCAAAATTGTATAAAATCGAGTAAAAATGATGTAAAACGGAGATAAATGAAAATTTTTTTAGAAGGACTTTATAGATAATCTTTTATTTATTATCTATATTTAATAGATAAGGTTTATTATACTTTATCTGAGTATACCAAACTATAGTATACTCTTATACTAAATAGATGAAAAATATAATAGAAAGTTATATGTTTATGTAGAATGTATATATGGTTTGCATTTATTTTTAATGTCATACGAATATTCTTGATATTTTAAACATCGGAAATTTCGAAAGAATATTTCGATTTTAATGCTGATAAGAAAATAGTTTTTGGTTGTATATATACATATACAAATATGTAATGCGTTCTTATTAAGGTCTTGGGTTTGGTTGATGTGATTGTTAAGTTTTTTAAAAAAGTGCAGTGGATTTTTCTGGTCAGTTTCACGGACACAAGCTAGCTAACAATGTACCATCCCATAGTGGAGTACCTTGTCATCAACCTACTGTGATGACTGATGAGGGAGGCTCAATATACGATTATTATTATTATTATTATTATTAAATCAATAGCTATGAATGTACTCCGACCTAAAAGATCTATTGTGCGCCTAAGGGCCCAACTAAAACAATTTTAGACTATTTTTAAATCTCGTAATTGTTGTTGTGGGCTTAATTTTGCCTATTTGCTTTGGGATTAAGATCCCGCTTCCAAGGCAGTCACGTCAACGTTTTGCCGCCGCTGAGCAGTTGCATAGAATATATTCTGCTGATTCTTTCTCGTTATGACAGAGTCGACAGGAATCACTTTCTACCGCACTTAAATTCTTCATATGGTAATTGAGTTTACAGTGACCTGTAAGAAATTTAGTGCAGATTTCAATATCGTTTCTGCTAAGCTTAAGGATAGCGTAAACTTTGATGTGTTCAGAATCAATGAATCTTCTTGACTGCCGCATGCTTGTTTGGGCTCCCCATGTGTTCAAGAAGATTTTGTTTCTCCCGTTCATATAATAAGTAATTTCTAAATCTTTTTGTAACTTCGCAGAAGGGCTCTGGACCAATGAAAGGTCTGCTATTTCATTGCCCTCATGTCTTTCATATCCCGGTATCTACATAAGAGTCACATACTTTCTCGATGCCGGACTAATTTTGACTGAAATGAGGAGTTTGCTAAACTATACGATTAAAATAAACTTTTATTAAATTATATAAAATGCTGCTAGAAGAGAAATCAGTTCTCATGTAATAAAGCTCAAGATTAATAACTCGAATCAAGATGTTGTTCCACCCTTCTTAGTTGGCTTAATATAATGCCGTTATGTAAGGTGATGTCGTCCGTGATAAGCTCTAAAATTTGTTGAAAGCTTCAATAATTATTTAACAATTTTTCCAATGGAAGCAATACTTCTTACTTTTGCCGGTAGTACCTTCATTTGGTGAAACATATGCTGCATTAAATTTTTGTTGAATCTTAACAAAAGGATTACAGAAATAATGCAATATGTGTATATTTGCGGATTACGATATAAGGGTTAAGAAAAATTATATTTTCGATGTACGCTATAACATTTTGGGGCATGTTTTGAGATCAGGGCAAAAACGGTAGATAGATGTTAGAAGTTATGCAATTGCTAGACATATAATTTAGGAATAAATATAAAACCAGCGTAGGCCTGTTACAAGAAGAGAGAGATGACTAAAAAGAGTATAACATATGAGTTATAGTGTTGAAGTTAAGTTCTCTTGTTAAGGTTTTATCAATCCATAAAAATAAAATGTAGATAAAATAATCCTTGAAATGAAATCAGATGGGAATGATAACAAACATTTTTTTTATTGAGACAATTATTACAAGTGTTACAAAAGTTTCCTATCACAGCAATTAGTCATTGTTCACCAACGAGCCGTTTACATTGATTGACATATGTGTTAAATAGATATCAATACATTGTATAGAATATTATTGAGCGTGCGCCACCAGTTCCAAAGGTTTTCTACGTTTCAATCGCCTTCTTAAGCTGCTAGTGTCCAGCAATTTGTTGGCTTCTTCATTTGTATGCTGGCGGAGTCTTTCATGATGAGACACTGC